ACTCTTTGGACTCCAGAGGATTTACTGAACTTTGGGATTGAGTGTGCAGACTCTGACACCCCCATTGACTGGGGATCCAGCAGGAGGCAGACAGTCAGCACCCCCTTCTTCTCAATTCCTCTTTCTTCCCACCCCAGTCTCTTCCTCCAATCCCACCACTGCAGTGTTCTACAAAGCAAGTTACATGTGACATGCTAACAGTCTTCCGAGCACTGAATCCAGTTGGGATCTGACTCTACCGCCCTATCATGGATTACAAGGCTATAAGGGGATCCTTACAGGTGTGTAAGGGCTTACGACTAGCTGATGACAGCTAGTTTGGTGTCATGGTGAAGGCACCAGGCTAGAAACCCAGAGATGGTGAGTTCTAGTCCCACCTTAGGCATGAAGCCAGTTGGGTGACCTTGGGCCAGTCCATCTCTCAGCCCTAGGAGGCAGGCAATGGCAAGCCACTTCTGAAAAATCACACCAAGAAAACTTCATGGACTAGTCCAGACAGTTGCCAGGAGGCAACACTGACTCGAAGGCACACGCGCACACACAAAAGGGGGATTCTGAGGCCATCTAATCCAATCCCCTGCTTAATGCAGATATTGAAATGAAACCATCCTGAGCAAGTGGATGTCCAAAATCTGCTTGAACATATCCAGCCAAGAGGGGCCCACCATCTTTTTAGGAAACTGGATATGTTTAAAAGTCTTTTCTAACAGTCGGTTGAAAATTAAGAGTCTGGTAGCACCTTTTCCAACTAACAAATTTTATTTAAAGACAGAAGCTTTCTTGAGCTGCAGCTTTTAATAAAATTTGTTAGTTGGAAAAGGTGCTACCAGGCTCTTAATTTTTTTTGCTCCCATAGTCTAAGACAGCTCTCCTCCTATAGTGTCTGATGTTCAACTGGAACCTGCTTTCCTGTAACTTAAATCCATAATTCCATATTCTGCCTTCTGGAATGAAAGAGTGGATGGTGACTTTCTTTTGATGTACATCCTTGTCATCTTTGATTGTTGGGAGTTGAAAGTACTGGATGACAACCAGTCAAAATGTCTACCTGGTAGCAGCCACAATGGGTCAGGAACAAGTCAGGCCATGGGCCCACGAGCCAGGCAAGTGACCGCTGTTTTTGTTTCAGGTGACAAAAAGCCATCTGCAAGCATTCACTTGGCAGGCATGAACACCAGGAGCAAAGGTGAGAACCGGCATTATTTTCTGGGCATTTGCCATGAAGGGGTGAGAAGTGACTCACTATCAAGTGGTTGTGGTTTTAATTCTTGAAACAGTTGGACTCGGAGTCAGATATGAGAAGAATGGTTAGTGCAGAATTTGGATGAAATTATGCCCCAAAGTTAGTTCCGTCAAGGCCAGGGGTCCCCAAACTCTTCAACTCATTGATCCCTCCATGAAGTTTCCAATTGTTCATCAACCCCAAACATTTATGACATAAAAATAATTTAATACTATCTTAACTAATAGCATTATGAATAATAATAATAACAGATAATAATCATAATGACCATAACAATTGGTAATATTTGAAATATGAAAAATATAAGATTGAATATACCTTTTTTTTACTTAAACTGTTGATATAATTACTGGGAAGGATGCATCTGGTGACTGTCAACTATGGCATTGATGCTTGGTTGGAGACTGGCGAGTTTTAGTCACAAGTCATCATGTTCTTCCAGGTTCGGTCTGTTCCTACTGACCCGCAGCCATTTACTGACCCCCTTTTGACCCCCAGCCATTTATCCGCCCCCTGGATAGTCCCATCGACCCTTGGGGGTTGATACTGACCACTGTACACCCAAGCCCGCATGTAATATTTCATATTTCAATGTCATCTTTAGATTACTTGCACTATAGCTGTTCATTCACAATGAACAACTAGACAAGACCCTGCCTAGTTCACATGTAGATAGTGAGAGAGCAGGGAAGCACATTCAGAGTTTTACTCTGGCCATGTTTTTTAAACCTATTTTGGATTTTATTATCATTGACTTGCTACATCATGACTTTAACTTTTGCTGTGAAATACCTGGATTGGAATACCTTTGCTTGTTTTCTGCTGAGCAATAAGGAAACGTGGCATTAAGTGGAGGCTCAGACATGCTCCAGACTTGACCCTGAAAGCTGCTCTAGTCGTGTCCCCTTGAAATCCATCTGATTCCATGACTACAGTTCATTGGACGCAAATTAATTAACTCATTAATAACGCAAGACCTGTTTTCAGCGTTGATATACCCATATCTTGGACAGAATATTATTGGAGAAGTTGAGTTGGATGGACTTCCTGATCTGGTTTCGGAGTGAGGACAAAATGCTCACAGAGTATAGAGGGATGAGGGAACGGCCTTGAAGGACAGGAGAAAGAGCTGTTATCAAGGCAGCAGTCAGATAAGAGGGGGTTGAGCCCAGGCCAAGAAACCAACTTGAGAAAATGTCTCAGACAAGACCCTGCCTAGTTCACATGTAGATAGTGAGAGAGCAGGGAAGCACATTCAGAGTTGCAAGGTCCTGTTTTTCAAACTTGGCAACTTTAAGATGTGTGGACTTCAACTCCCAGAATTCCCCAACCAGCACGGTATAGCTGATCCAATAAAAGTGGTCCTGACTTATATGACATTGGTTTCTTAGTCTGGTCTACCATGTAGGGCTGACATGGAGTAAATGAAATTCATTATCTTCTTCCCTACAGTTCTGCAGTGGAAGAATGCAGTCTATGCTCCAAAGGATGATGTGTTTTCCAACTTGGATGGAAAGATCAAAATTGGCAAAGGAGGGCGGTATTACATTTACTCCCAAGTCGCCTTTTGCAGCAAGCCAGAGCTGCGTGCCCCATTCAACGTTTATGTCTATCTGAACCTACCGTCGGAATCAGATCAATTGCTACTGAAGGGAGTGGGAACTTACAGCAGTTCAGAGGACCTGTGTGGCTTGCAGTCCATTTATGTTGGGAGGGCCGTGGAGCTCCAGTTGGGCCACACTGTCTTTGTGAATGTAACGGACTACTCAAGAGTGAATTATGACCATGGGAACACCTACTTTGGCATCATTCAGCTCTCTTAGAACAGGCGCTTAGTTCTGTTGACCAACATCACTTCCCCATCCAACAATATTTATGAACCCTTTAATCTTTGGTTCTATTTCCTTTATAGGTGTATTTTATTTAATTTATTAAGAAGGAGTGGAGGGTGAATCATTCATATCAGAAGGTTATCAAATACAGGCAGGCCTCGGTGTGAGACATTACAAAATGCTGCACAGGCAAATAGCAGTGGTGCGTGCCATCTTGGAAGGCTGAGGGTGCTGGCACGCCCAGTTTCAAGACTGCATCTCATGTAGTTTCCAGGGCTGTTTACTGAAGGAGGAAGCAGCTGGGCCTCTCAATGCAATGCGTACTTCACTAGTAGAATTCACAGAAGGACTGTAGCTCAATGGGAAAACATCTGCTTTGTCCTGGAGAGCCACCTCCACTTCACAGTTATCTCCAAAGAGGGCTGAGAAAGACCCTTATGGAGAGCTGCTCACTCCTCAGGGTCAACCAACTTTCCCCAATCTCATGCTCTCCAAGTGTGCTGAGATTCCAGCTGCAAACATTTTAGCCAACATGGCCAGGTTGAGGAAAAGTGGTATATGATGCTCTGGGAAAGATGAGCTAAAGATGTGACTGTGTCTAAAATAGCTTCCTAAGAATGCAATGTGTTGTGTATAAAAGTAGTCCCTCTTTTTCAAGAAATGAGCTGAATATATATATTACAGCTCTTCCTTGAGGAGCAAACACTGAAGACAACAACTTTCCAACTTAATGTCTTATTGTATAAACAAGAATCTAGGTACTGTGGCCATACTTTGGCTGGGTGATCATCCAAAGACATTGGGTTGAGTGTGTTTGATTTCAGCTTTGCACAACATATAAACCCAGCCATTATTATATATAAGCCATGTATTACAACAAGAATCTACAGTGTGGACCCAAGGAAGAAAGCTTAGGTCCCCCACCGTGAACTTCTTGCTGAAATATCCATGGGATCGTGAAATCTTGGGTAAGGTGGTCGAACTTTCACAGCCCAAAGTGATGTTGTGTAGGATCAAAGATGGCGACTCCTCTTTATGGCTTAGCATTATGTGTTAAGCAGGCCACTATGGTTTGGGCAACCAACTGTAATTATAAATATGTTGGTTTAGCAGTCTGTAAACGCATCCAGGGATTTAGCTCATTGAAACCAAGGTCCTGACTTGGAACATTGTGATATAAATTCTGCCTCCCTGGAACTTTATGCATTCATTGAATAAGCAAGTCCCTCCAAAGCTGTGCACATAGGAAGGAAGACATAGAAATACGTCATCAGAGCAGCTCCACAACTAAGAGGCAGCAGATCTTCCACAGCAGCCCCAACTAATGAATGTGTGTTTTGCAATCAGACTTTGGACATACAATTTTGCAGCATAATTTGTGGGCTTTATTGGAAGCTTGGATGAAGTTAATGAGGATTGTATTTCACGAAGGGTAGCCAGAGATGAAGACAGGGTGTCCACAGGGTGTGGTCAAAACAGTTAAGTGGCTGACCATGATGGTGTAATTGAAGCACATCCCTTTTTATGAGTCATGGATAAAAAACAGGTGGAGTTTCAACTGAATCCTTGTGGCCACCAGCTTGACTTTTTTGACCAAACCCTGCAGACATCCCTGGATGAAGAGGTTGAAAAACATGGCCCTGAGCTTTATGTAAAATATGTCATTTATTATTGTTACCGAAGTTGTCTATTCCATGCAGCTCAATGAAATTCTTTTGATAAATGCTGGACTGTTTCATTCTTACCGGTTATGGAGTTGATAGAACTGAAGTATGATCATCTGTATTGTAATATGGCATTTTTGAGCAAAGAGGGTTCTCCCTCCATCCAGAAAACTCAACTGGCATAAAACTGGCCACCCCATTGCAAACCCCACTCTTGCCTCCCTTCCTATCCACCATCAGTCCTCTCCAAGGAAATAGGCGCCCCAAAGAATGTGCTCCTCATTCTTTCCCCCCCACTTTTTAGACCTTCTGAGATGTTCATAATTCATGTAATATAAACTGTGCGGGGAAAAAAGACATCTCTTTTGGATCTGGCACCTTGTCCAGAAGAACATAATCCTAGCTACCATTGCAATGCAAACTTGATTACAAAAGATCTCTTTCATTTGGCTGCAGAAACATCAGGTCCAAACCTTCATTTCTTCATCAGTGGCTAAGGAATACGTGTTTGAGGGATACAGGGTGATGACAGAGCAAATATGCAAAGACTCGCTTTCAGTTATCGATGGATACTGAATTTCCTGTTTGGTAAAGCAGATCTTTCGTTATTAATCTCACATTCCCAACAGGACAGTTTTAGTCATAGGCAGTGTTTTAGATCAGTTTGCTCTCAGCTTTTCCTGTGCTGAGTTGGTGCTCTCCATCCATCCAGAAAGCTCAACCACCATAAAATTGGCCGCCCCCATTGCTGCCCCTGCCCCTCCTCTCTGCCATCCCCTCAAGGGCCTCCATAGGGGGTGTTAAAAACTCAAGATGGCCCCACAACCCTGTGATCGAAGCCCCAACCCTAGATAAACATGCATGACAAAAACAGGACTTGGATCGTGGTACCATCTTGTCTTTCTGACCTCCCCTTCCCCTGCAAAGGAGGGGGAATGCCCCTTTCACCCCAGGACACTAAGGAGGACTCAGGAGGCTGGAAAGGAGAAGGCGGCAACGTCATGGGGACACAGCAGAAAAGGGAGATTGGCAGACTGTGGTTAGGTGCAAAGAGAGAGATAGTTTTGGAGTGACAAAAATTGGGGTTAACCCTTGTGTATTGTACTGGAATTTTTCTGCATTTCCCTCTACATCAGTGTTTTTCAAACTTGGCCACTTTAAGATGGGTGGACTTCAACTCCCAGAATTCCCCACCCCATACTGGCTGGGGAATTCTGGGAGCTGAAGTCCACCCATCTTAAAGTGGCCAAGTTTGAAAAACACTGCTCTACATGTTGTAGTGGATCTGAAGAAACAGGTAACTTTCTCATAAACGTTTTAGGGAGAACTTTTGCCATCAGTTCCAGATCGAAAGGGCCTTTTGATGGGAATCTTATCTTCTACATAATAATTTAAGCAAACCCTACTGAGCAATAAGTTAATGAAACGCACAAGCACTGATTGTATTTAAAACTTCGTTTAACGCTTTGGGTGCAAGGAGAGCAATTCTTACCTACAATTTCTCCTTTCTTTTAATTGCCTTCCTGGTTTTTGATCTATGGTTTTAATTGGAAGCTTCTGGATATTTTCAACTACATTCAAAGCCTCCAGTTGTATTTCACTATTGCAGGTGAACTGTCTTAAAAGTCAGATTAGCTGGTAATGTTAGACATTTTGCTGGAAACGAAAACACAAAATGATTCAATTTCATCCTGTTTTTAAAGAGTCTGCCAAGATGGTTGAAATAAAGCATTTTCTTTTGCTGATATTATCTATTTAAGCTTCTGGTTTTTTTTCTTTAAAAAAAAGCACTTTAAAAGATCACACAGACTTTTGCAATGACCTCCTTTCATTTTTAATCAAAACTATAATCAAGCTTGAGGGGAAAAAACCTGACAGACCTGCTGTAAAGAAAATCACACATACACCTGAAAAGGCACAGCCACATTTCTTTTAAAAATCCTTTTTTTATTTCCTTGAAAACCAAAATTTAAAAATTGCTCAAAATAAAAATATTTTAGAAAAAGGGTTTTGCTTGCATCAGTTGTTGTGACGGGAAATAAAAACATAACGAGAGATAAATTGAAAAGCAAAGAAGGAAACAATAACGTAGGGTCTTAACAGAAACCTATTTACATAGAATAATATATATATATATAATCCAATCAGGTTCACATGGCTTCTATTCCTTTAGTACAGTTGTATATTCTTCCTTTTGTTTTTTAACAGCACAATCCTATACATTTTCATTGAAAAACTCTCTGAGTTCCGTGGGACTTCTCTGAAAAATGTGGGCTTAGGGTTTTTGCAGCCTTAATTTTCCTTAAACACACACACACACACACACAAACATCTGGTGCATATAGTAAAAGCAAATATTGAATTCAGATAATAAGGCTAGCATTTCTCAAATTTTGGAGGCCTGGGGCACAGTGATTCTCTTGGCTTGAGGAAACGTGACCAAGCAGAGGTGGAACGAATGCTTTCCAAGTAAATCCAAGGGTTTCCCCCCTCCCCACCTGAAGGGATTAGCAATCCTGGGGAAAACAAGGATTTTTCCTCTTGGAAAAGGTCTCCTCCTTACATTCTGACCTAGAGATGCTTCATATTTTGTGCCCAGAGATTTGGTGGTTTCCTTGACTATTGAGAGCATCTCAGCGTAACGTTCTTCCTCCTGCCATGTTGGAGTTGCTTGGGGCCTCCTCAAAGTTGAAGAGAGATGGATCTGTGGATATTTCAAACCACCCACGCGCATGCTCCAGACAGAGTTTTGGAACTGCTTAGCACACATCGATCCAAGTCCTTGGAAGCACCTGGCGGTTAGTAAGGAAGCACAGAAATAATTGAAGATCCCAGGGATCATCCAGGATGTCCCAGAAGATCATCTCTGCATTCAGTTCAGACATGCCTCTTCCTGTCCACCACTGAATTTAGGAAGGTTTAGAGAGAGGTGCCACCAGGTCTGTCTCAGAAGCTGGCAATGCTCAGTGCTGTGTGGCTAGTACCTGCAACGCCACCAAGACATCCCTCAACCCCAACCCTCCCCCCAATTGTCTAGATCGTTTGTACACTTTAAAGAAGTTCCTTTATAAGATGCAACTGAACCGGAAAACCTATCATACTCTCCTTTTTTAAAGAAGGCCTACAAGGGAGGGTAGGACAGAACATGAAGCTAGCGTTTGCGTTCACTGGTGTGCACGTTCCTTCATTTTAGCTGCAAAGCTAGCAGGGAAAATAGGATCTCACAGCCTGAGAAACCGCTGTTAAGTTCTCTTTTTCAGTTTTCTGCCTGCTTTTGCTCTCTGGCAAGGTGAATCCAGGTGGGTAGAAAAGGGCAAACCGTAGACGTTTTGTGACCAGGAAAAGGCCAACTCCAGATAGATCATCCATGAAAGAAGTTGGGGAGCTGCAGACTTCAGTGTGATGTTCTAGGAGACCCTTTCCACTCTGTCTCTGTGCAATAAGCTTCCACGTGAACTCTCCCAACACAAGAGTTTGCGTGTGTTTGTCTCTCTGTGCATTTCAGCTTTATCCTTGTCCTTGTCCTTTTCTGCTGCGTCAAAACGCATCTGCTGTTGCAGCAGGAGAGCTTTGCCTTACACAATGCGGTTGCGTCTCTTCTCTCCAGCAGCTGACAGCTGGAACACAAACGTTATCTTCAACAGGGCTTCCTTGAGCAAATTCCACCCTTGCTCTTGGGCTCTGTCAAAAAATAATTCTACCTGTCCGTAGGAACTACGAGGCAGCTCCAACCTCAGAGCGACAGAGCACGCAAGGCCCACTTATTGTAGGCAAAGCGGGTTGGTCTGCATCTTGTGACCATTAACTTAGTATTTTCATTTGGTACACAGACAAAGGTCTCTTCTTAACAACCCAGGCTGAACCATCCATCATCCCTGATTATCTAAGAGGGAAAAGTGATAATTCAGTTTGCGCTGTCTTCCTGACCCAAAGGTGAACACCTGAAGCATTTGCTTTCTCCGTCGTAACGGAACCTATCCTCCGACATTAAAAAAAAGAAAAAGAAACTCTTCCAGCATTAATCAAGCTTTGCGCAACCGTCTCTGTCCCCTGCAGATGTCCTTTTGAGTGAAAAGGTTTAAAACAGGCGGTCAGCTGACGAGCAGGCATCAGTCAATAAACGAGGTGCATACGAAGCAATGCCTCCCTAGTTTTCCCTGATGTAAACTCAAATATTCCTGGGGAAAGTTTGCTTTGTGATTTTTGAAGGGGATGGCACACACAGGTGCCTTCTTAGTACAGAAATTCTGCTTTTCAGGAAAGGGAAAGGGCTAAAAAGGCAGGTCCGGTTCTTCTCAGCTACCTCTGCTAACAAGGCTTAACCAGCTAACCCGGGCAACCTTAATTAAACATAAAACCATGGGAATCTGTGACTGTACATGTGCATAATGCTTGGGGACAGCACTGAGGGATCCATGCTAATTTGCCATGAGCCGAAAGCTGCGAGTCCAGAGCAGGCTCCCGGAGGAATTACATCCATCCGGCTCTGAGACCCTTTGCATAACGTCATCTCTAGAAAGGCCACGGAGGGGAATTACTGCAGGGCAACAATGGGGAAAACCTCACTCTTTGTTTTCCTGATTACCTGAAAAAAGAAGTGCAAATCATCGCTTGGCTTTTAACTTGGTGGCAATTCAAGGAACCGTGCTTGTTTTTCCCTCCCCCCCAATAAATTAAGTAACATGCATTAAAACGAAAAGAGAGGGGAAAGGGCCATGCGCGTTCTCTTTCCACACTTTCTCGAAAAGTCTCGCACTCAGCAATCTTCACTCTGAGTGGGCACCGATCACTTGCCAAGGGCGTATTCCTAGAAGAAGAAGACGTGGTGAGGTATCAGAAGTGGCAGGCGGGTTTCTGTGACTCAGAAGGGGCCCAAGCGGCCGCTTTGGAGCAAACGTTTGCTGGCAATTAGCAGCATGCAACACGGGCTTTTCGAAGGTTGGCCAGAGCCACGGCAGTTCTTTTCCTCTGTCTCTCTCTGCAACAAGAACAGAACAGAAGCAGCAAAACATCCCCCCCCCCGCAACGAAACAGCCAGGGAACAAGAAAACTCAGCCCATTTTCTGGGAATGCTGCGATGGGGCTGCCAACCACCCCGGGTGGGGAGAAGGGATCACGCCAGCACCGAGGAACGACGGCCCGTTTCTTCTCGGAGACATTCATCTGTTTGCTTTAATAACCTCCGGACCAATTTTTCTAAATCCTTCCTGGACTTCAGCTCCTCTTCCAAACATTGCTTCATCCGTTTGTTCTCCTGCAGCACGGAAGAGAGGCGGAGAAAAATGGGGGCAATGGGGGGGGGGGGGGTTAACACTTCGTTGTTAATTGAATTCATTGAATAATTAAATTCATCGAATAATTAAATTCATTGAAAGTCTCCGACTTTCCTTCTGCAAACCAAAACCACGGACCTCGATGGGCTAACCATCTCCACTCAGCTCCTGGTGGCTTAATTGATGAAACTGCTATCCTGCCCTCTCTGCAAAGAACGTACGATGGCACTTCCTGACTTTTTAAGCTTCTCAACACCCTTGCAAGGTAGATCAGGGTCAGAAGCAGCCAAATCCTCAAATGACATCCATGGCTGAATAAGAATTTGCATCCAAGCCAGGCCCCAGGCTGTTTCCCTCATGCAACAATAATTGAGGGCACATTTTCCAGCTGGTTGTTGCTGCCATGAGGACTAGAAACCTTTTTTTTTTTTTAAACTCACTGGGAAATCTGGGTTATGGAGCCCCCAACTGCAACCTGGGCTTTTGAAAAACCGCTTTTAAATGCGGCCTAGCATCAGGCAATGATTATGGATTACCTGCTTCAGTTCCTTGACCTCATCTTTTAGTGCATAGACAGTATCCACAAGACTCCTAGAAAATAAGAAAGACAGTAGAAAAGGGCAAAAAATCCATCAGCACCAGGCATAGAACATTTACTTCATTTTCCCAGGGTTGAAATCTGATTTTTTTTTAAACCTTTTTAATTTTTAGAACGTCGTACTACTGTGATCTACTCTTTTAATTTTTAAAGGCTAAATTTATAAAGGGCAAAATTTGATTTTAGGTTTATGTTTTCATTTCATGGTTTTCAGCTTTCCTAGCAAACTGCTTAAGAACACTGGTTTCTGGGCATAATAAAAATACTGCAATAAAGGCAAAAGAAAAGAAAAGAAAGGAATGGTTTGAATAAAAAGATGACTCATGGGAGTCTTGTTTTCCTCAACTACAATTTGTTTATAGTCACAAAACTCTTTGGGTGCTGGCTGTGGCCCTGAAGGACCTCAGATAAGGGCTCCTAAGCCTCGCCCAATCTGACCGGCCCCCCCAACTGGGGAGCACCATTGGCAAAACTGGGCGGCCCAATTTCCTGCCAATCTGCAAATGGGTCAAAATGTGCTGTTCACCAACAAACAGAGCAAAGCCGGGGTGGGGGTGGGGGACACCCCATTTGCACCTACACGGGTGACACAATCTTGCCTACATGTGACACCGTTGTGCCTACTGCGCCCCCTTCTTCCCCTGCAAGGGACACGTAGAGGTGGGTCACCTCTGCCCTAGAAGGCTTTCTAGAACCATCTGCAAGATGCTGGTGTTCCTGGCTGGGTCATCAGCAGGAGAGTCAACACGAGGAAGGAATGTCCTCCAAGAAAAGCCAACGCCGCATGGAGACGTTGCATGGAGGCCAGTATTTCACCCAGGACGTTTTGCTGCAGCTTCTCTGCAGGCCACAGCAGGGCTTGACCCCCAGCCGGCCCCCGGCTCCCACTCACTTCTCCTCTGCCACGGTCTGCCCGTTGCTCCGCACCTCCTCAATGATTATTTTCTCTTCTTCTGGAAGCAGGACCTGGGGGACAGAATCTTTGCGGGAACCTGAGGACGAGAGTGGACAATGGGGGCTTCGTTTGGTGCACACGAGAACCACGACGCTGGTCCAGCTCAGCCTGAGATGGACCTTTCCTTCCCTCCTTGAGGCGGAGGCCCGGGATCCGCCACCACTCACGGAGGCTGAGCTAAGACCGAATCAGTCCGGCAGCGCTTCACACAAACAAAAACCATCCGCCACCTCCCACTGCCCCCAAATGCACTGATTTATTGTTGCCACCTCAACCCCACTGATAAGAGACGGTGTTTCCATTCATTGCTTCAGAAGATGCGAGAAAAAAAAGACACTCAAAAACAAAAAAGCCACCCAGGCAGCCGCTTTTTCTGAAATACGCAGCAGATTCGGAGATAAAATCACCCGGCGCTTCGTACCCAAAGTGACGGTGTCTTCGGAGATTAGCATCTCAGTGGGCTGGGAGAGTAGAAAGAACGGAAGCAGCAGCATCTCGTTGCAACTTTTTGATTTCCTTTACCTTCATCTTGCTATTTTAAAAGTCAGCTTATTTCGGAGGCTGGGTTTTGACTCATCCGCGCAAGGCTTCTTTCTCCCCCCCCTATTTTTTTCAGAGAGGAGGAAGCAGTTGCTGCAACTCGTGCTTGGCTTAGTGTTGGAAATGAGCAGATGGATGGATGCTTTTCATTCAACTGGGGAAAAGGATTCCTCTTTCCCGGGATACTAACTTGAGTGAGAAAAAAATGAACTTTCCATCAAGGGTCCAGCGAGGAGAAAGTGGGAGACAGAATGAACGAGGAAGGATGTTTTGCTCCCGTCTCCAAGGTCTTAGAAAGGC